GTAAGATGTGCACCCAGAGTACGCATGATCATGAAATTCAAGTGAAAGTGAACCGTTGCGGGAGTGGGCGGTAATGGTCAGAAATTCAGCGGGAGCAGAATTCCGAAACAGTCCCGTGCAGAGCTCTACTCCAGACTATCTGCACAGCACAACTATACAGTGCATTCGGAAATGTGATTTTAAATTTTTTTTTTTATAAATTTGCAAAGATTTTAAACATTTCTTTCACGTTGTCATTATGGGGTATTGTTTGTAGAATTGAGGAAAATAACTAATTTAATCTATTTTAAAATAAGGCTGTAACATAACAAAATGTGGAGAATGCACTGTAGAACAAGGGCAGGGTAAAGCGAATATCTGACTAATATCAATCCTAAAACTAACTTTACTTGGCTAGGTTAAATGCAGATGGGACACCATACTTGGCCACGTCACTTCACTCACTCACTTATTAATGATTTACAAAGAGACAACACTTTGTACTTGTAAGGCTCTGGTCTCTTCAAAGATAGAATTGTGAAGGCATCTGCTTCACTTACATAAATGCTTAAATGTGTAAATTGGGTAAAAAAAACAAACAAAAAAACACTTTAGTAACCGATTTGTTGATGCAAGCAAATCTGCTTCTTCCGCACAGAACTTTGTTCAGTGAAGCTCCTCCCACAACAAGCACGTAATAAGTGAAGCTCCTCCCACAGCAAACACTTTCACTGAAGCTCCTCCCACAAACCCTGCAGAATGAAACACACTGAAGATACTCAAGAAAAAAGAGGTTGGTGCTTATTCTTCATTCTTCATTAATAATGCTGACGGTTTTAAAGCTACAAGCAGATTTAGATTTGTTGTGTTAGGAAAAATCTTTAGAGCTGTGCAGTAATATAGCTAGAGTATCAAATAATAAGGGACACGTTCTACGAACTGGGTCCTTTTTTTCCAACAAAATTGTTAGATAATTGTGTAGTTGATCAAACATATTTAATAGTTCTCACTATAGAAACATTGGATTTGTGCCTATATTTTTTTTAAATAAAAATTTGAAGATCAGTGTACCTCATTCATGGAAAGTTTCGGGGATGTTTTTTTTTTTTAATTAATCAAAATGACCAAAATTTTGTATACACTTTGAAAAACATTGGGTTTAAAACAACCCAATTTGGGATATTTATAACCCAAGAGCTGGGTAAATATAGGACAGAACTAGGGCTGCACGATAAATCGCATGCGATATTTAACGAGCATCTTGTCAGAAAAGCCGGTTCTTTAATCAGATTTAAAAGATTTACCGCTGATTACAGAACCGGCTTTTCTGACAAGATGCTCGTTAAATATCGCATGCGATTTATCGTGCAGCCCTAGACAGAACACATTTTGGGTTAATTTTACCCAGCAAATTGGGTTGTTTATTTAACCCAGCATAATGGGTTGATACATTTTTACTACAATAGCTTGTTTTTTTTTTACTTCATACATGAAATAATGTTTACAGATTAACTTAAAGGGTTAGTTCACCCAAAAATGAAAATTAGCTTGTGTTTTACTTACCCTCGAAGCATCCTAGGTGTATATGACTTTCTTCTTTCAGACAAATCCACTCAGAGTTATATTAAAAATGGTCTTCGATCTTTCAAGCTGTTTAATGGCACTCAGCGGGTGTTGCAGTTGAACAGTCCACAAGTCGTCAAATAAAGCTCGCGCATTCATAATAAAACGTGCCGCAGACGGCTCCGGGGGATGAATAAAGGCCCCCTGTTGCGAATTCATGAGTTTTTGTAAGAAAAATATCCATATTTCAAATGTAATAAACCAAAAATGTAATTTTCTTTTGGTAAATGATCTCATTCTGTTTGTGACACTGTATGCTACAAAACCATGTTGCTTTTTACTACCAAGATGCAGTTTTTTGAGCGCAAATTTCATAACGGATACAAACAATAACTGCCCCCGAAGAAATGAGATGTAAACAAAGGAATTACCATCCATATTACAATGTTATTGCTTTTTTTGTTGGACTGAAAGTGCTCTATGGGATGTTGTTCAGTGGACCCTTACCTTTCTAACTAAACTGGGATTTACAGCTGTGGATGCGTTTGTGACCCGTTATTACGATGAATCTAGTACGTACTTCACTAAATGCTCCTTCTGGCGCTGTATTATT